GTGCTGAAGAAATACATTATTTGAAAACTCTTAGTAGAGGTACGTTGCTGTTCTATTTTCCACTAGGAAAATGATTTCCATTAAACAGATAGTTTAGTATTTCAGTAACCGATCACTACAATCAAAATATTAATAATTAGATATATGCCTCTACATAATCAGAGGTACTCATTTCCTTTGCATAACGTTCATAGAAGCTTGTTTCTGTCTTATCTCAAGTCATTATATACGAACATTTTTCGCTCTGCATTCCATCTCTGACCTGCGTATATCGTCATTTTGCCCTTTCGATATCGACTACGATCAACGCCTCCTGATTAGCAAGACCATTCACTATCAGTATTACTTCAAGTCGTTTCTTATCATGGATTACCATTTCGCATTATTATTCTAGCGCGCGTAACGTAACCACCTTCTTCGCGTTTCCATAATGGGAAGTCTGCAAAAAGGACACTAATGAGAAAGCAAGCAAATGGCTTCTACAAAGCTGAGAAAAACTCTCTCTGGAATGTACGACGAGATGCTAGCAGGTTATAACTTTATCATTAACTTATAATAATTATTTCGGAATTTCATAAATTGATATTTGTTTACTATCAGCTATTATTTTGATTTTTATCCATCAAATGAATAGAATTAGCTACAATAATCACATTTATTAAATAAGTAGAGATTAGAGTTTCATTTTTGTATGATGTTGTTGATATTAATTTTTATTTTATAGACTGGATTTTTATAGATGACCAAGTCAGAATACATTTTATAAACGGTTTGGTTCAGTTTCGGGTCCATCTCCGCATATCCAACCACCAGTCCGTAATTCAAATCAGAATTTGGTACCGCGATCACTACTTGATGTCAGTACTTTCACAACAAATACAAGGTAAGTAATTATTCTTTAACTGAATATATAAATAACAAAAAATCAAAATTAAATTAATTCAACCAAGTAAATAATAAAAACCGAATTTAAATAACAAACAATGAATCATCTTGTAATAATAAATAGTCATAATAAATAGCTATAATAATCATTCATAAATAGTCAACTAAACCCTAAATGATATTCGCTTATTTTTGAATTGTGTCATCCATTACAGTGAAAGATGACTATTTCTTTGTTTATTCTGTATTTGTTTATATAAAAATTAGCTGAAAAAGATTCAGAATAAAAACAAAAAGACAATGAAAAACATAATAGAAATAAATAAGGACCATTTGTTGTATGCTTTGGCTCCTTATTAATTGTTTCTTTCGAGATTATTATAATTATTTATTGGAAGATTTTTTATCTTAGTGCAAAACTGCGGTTTCATATTATGTTCATGAACAAAATTAAGAGAGTAACTTATATTTTTCAATTAAAATTATGTATTGTAATCTTATATAGATTTAATTTTGTTATTAGATAGGTTTGAATTTGGCATAGAAATGAAACTTTAATTTTTATTTTTTTAATATAATAGTTGCAAATGTTATAAACTTATTTTTAGATAGTCTCGAAGTGACCAGCCATCATTGGAATATGGAGATTTTTGCAAAAGGAATGGAAGCATTGCAAGCAATCAAGGTCAAAGTGATATTGGAGTGAGAATAATTCGGTTTCGCAAAATTAAAGGTACTATTTTAAATATATTTCACCTTACAAAAGGATATCAACTTATGAAACAATTTGCTTATTTTATCGTATCACTAAAAATTAGTTTAAATTCGTAGCACAATCGAACAAATTTTACTTAAATATTCATGATGTGTTTTTAATGCGAAGTATAAAATATATGAATTCAGGTAGTTGGGAGTTCGTATAATTGGCAGTAAGCAAGTTGGTATGTCTGTATCAGCTCTACAGGAAGATTTACTAGCTGCTTTACATTCGATCAGGCAAGGTGACCGGATTTTGTACGTTAGCAATAAATCAATGATCGGTGTAACTGGACAAGAGGTATACAATATTCTATTTACATACTTTGCACCGTAAATCACTAAAAGATTCATTATACAAGATTAATACTCAGTACTTGCACGTGACCAGCCTTGACTAAAATATTCATATTCTAATAAAAAGATACAAGTATTGCAAGCAATGAATTTAAAAATTTTCTAAAACCTTTCAACTATTTTTGTACGCTGTTAGACACTTACTTGCATTGCAAGATGATGTAACGATCAAAGTGGAATATGCCGCAAGTGAACTTGAAAGGATTCAAAATTGTCCTTTGGGTCACATTTCAAATTAGGTTCGTTGTTCACACCCTAAAATATAAGTTACTTTTGTTAGAAAAGATTAAAGAATTTATTAAATACTGTAAGCTTATGATTAACAATTATCAGCATTTATGGGATATTTTTGCCATCTTTCTTTTGCATTAAAACTCAAGAACTTTTCATTTTTTCGCTTTGATTACTTGAAAATAAGTATTGTTATACAATACTGACAAAAAACGCAGAATTGTAATAAATTTTTTACTACGCAATTAGTAAAAATACGTATACGTATTGTATCAAAAATACTGTAACGTAAATAAGTATTAAAATATGATAGTAATATAGAAGGAAATGTTTTGTAGAACAAATTTTGCTCGCCAAAAATCATTCAATCATTTGCAATTATCATTCCATTATGGTGATATATTCTATATCACTGACACTCTTTTTGATGGAACAGTTGGATTCTGGCAAGCTACACGTGTTTATTCAGCTGCAAATCGTTCTAATTATGGCCAGAATGATAATTGCAAAGGTGTCTTCCCAAATTTAGAAACGTAACTTTTTACGCAATTTTTTTTTAATTGTAATTTTTTCAGCAATTATTTTAGAAAGCGCAACTTTTTTTTGTTCATTTTTTTAATAATTTGACATTTGTGGCACTTTCAATCAGTAAGTAATAGTAATTGATTTAGAGTTAATTTTTCCACGGTACAGAAATTGGGAGTAACAATTTTATGAGTAAAATAAATAAATTTTTTTATTTAAAATTGTTTTTATATCAAAAATTCGCTTTAAAATGTGTTAATTGAGCTTTGCTTTCAATTTGTTTATATTTTTCTTCTAAAAATTTGAAATTAGTTAATTTTGTATAATTTTTCTCAAAAAAACGGCATTTTCAAGAGCCGAGAGTTAGCAAAAGCAGCACGAGCTGGTACTTCCACGTGTCATCGTTCCACGTTTTTCCGCCGAAAATTAAAAGAAAAATGCTCACAAAGTCATTGACGAAAAATGG